ATGCCCAGACCTGTCTGGCCTTGCAAATCCTATAAGGCAAGTTAGTCCCAAGCTTTTCCAAATGGGAATGATGTTCCCACTTCTCCTTTTAATGGTTGATGTGGGAATGTGGTTGGAATCTGTAACGGGATCCTACAGGGTAGAAACGCACCTGTTCATTCACACACTCACACACACACACACACACACACACACACACACACACACACAGTCCTCTCTTTATTCTACACACTGTCAGGAATGCTCAGACCTGCCTGGCCTTGCAAGGCCTTTAAGGCAAGTCAGTCCCAAAGTTTCCCAATCAGAAGTGCCATTCCCATTTCCCACCACCAAAGACTCTCCTCATCAGTAGGTGTGGGGTTGTGGTTAGAGTTTGTCATGGCACAAAAACACTTGTTCATGCACACACATACTGTACACATTTTTTTTTTTTTTTTTTTTTTTTTTTTACAATTTTAATTTTAGAGACTTGTGGACTGATGGGTTGAACTTTGTGCTATAACACAGGTGATTTATGTTTGGTGTGTGAATACCTCCATTATTATTTCCACAGAGAAAGGTTCAGCTTCTGTGTTTGATTCAGGTTTGTTAGAAGCTGCCAGTAGTAAGAGGGGCAAGGATCAGAGCGAGAGCAGCCAGGTTTTTGAGGTTAAAAGTATTACTGTACAGTGATTATATAATATAAAAGTGCTAGGAAATAAAACAAGTTGAAGAAAAGCTGTAAACTGAAAGTGCATACTGAGCCTAGCACTCCTCTGAGCTCCCTGTTTGCAGAGGGGTTTAAGGTGCTGCCTGTCAACCGTGACGTTACCTGTTTGCATGTAGCTAGGGGCCTTATTGCATGTTTATCCCCAAACCGCCTCACTACCTGTCTATAATGTCATCTGTAAAATGCCAAAAAAAAGCAACACTACTCATTTTGTTGTAACACAGTTGCAATATTCTGCAAATAAACCTCTCAGCTTGCCTATATCACTGAGCCCTAATTTTATGGTGATGTTAGATTTCACTTTTCCACCTACCAAGAAAATGTATGTTCCAGAGTTTTAGCTTTGTCAGTGTGTCAGGTTGAGTTAGTGGGTGAGTGAAGATCTGGGTCATTAGCCGTCTGACACTTTGCACAGGGTTTTCTGTGTAATGCAGCCTACACCCGTGTGTGTGTGTGAGCGTGGCTATGTAGGTCCATCAGTCTGGATTCAACTGCACGGCTGATGGGCTGATATGCCTGAAAGTGCACATGCTTTCTTGGGACAAAGGTTTTTGAGGTAAAAGTTCATACCAAAATCTTTTCACTTTTTAAATGTCTTTAGAAGTCTTGTCACGAGTTTTAGGCTCAGTTAGTTGTATTCCTGTGTCCATTTACTGCGTTATGATGCTACACTCAGCTTATAGGACAAATGCATCACCCATTCAGTCTGTTATTAGTGAAAGACATTTCAGTTAATGGCAGGCATTGAACCTGTCATCAATCTCGAGATTGTGTTTGCAACTACAACAGCAACCTTTCACCACAGTAATTGTTAGTGTGGTTATTCAGGGATTAAGGACACTTGATAAGAGCCACGCTGCACTCCTTCCTGTGGTCTGCAAGACAAGGGATTTTGTCCATGTTTGTCTGTGAAGCAGCCCTACTCTG